GATCGAATTCTATCATATCCAATTTCATTGCCAATTTCTGCTGTTTTTCTAAATCAGTTCCTTTTCTATTTTTCTCTCTATTAATATTTTAGTGTTTGCCTCAGAACCATATTAGTTAGAATAATATTTGCTTCCACTTTTCAGTAATTTTTTTATGTTTATCATATTGCATTGGAGTTTAGGACAGTTTAGGTTGTTTTTTTTTTGAATATAAGTTGTTGAATTATAAAAAGTAAATTGCATTATCATTAATTAAAAATCAAATATGATGGGATTACTCATAAAAGTAATAATCACTTGAATAATTAATTATATTATTTGCCTTTTTAGCGGATACAATTATATATCAGAATATGTAAAATAGAAATAAAGCTAATTTTGGAGCACATAAAAAGTTAAGGGAAGTTTATTTTTATATGATTACTAGTTGCAATTGGTTTGAAATTATAACATCAGCAGCAACTCAAAAAATAAGATATAATTTGTCGATATACATAGGAAAACTGGTATGATTATTAAAATTGTTATCACACAAATCAAAAAATTTTCATTAAAAAATTCGGTGACGAAAGAATTGTGATGGAAATTTTTTGCTTAATAATATCATTATTCTTGTTTAAACACTACGTTTGTTTTATATAATTTAATATAAATGTTTAATAAATTTTTCTTAAGGAATCATTATTTATACTGATCATCTAAACCAACATTTAAATAAATTATTATATCATCTAATGAGATTATAATTAAATTGTAATTTTAGTAATGTCAATTTCTTACATCGCTTTCTATGCCTATAATGCGTTCTAATTTAATCATTTGTATGATAAATTCCTAAAATTATGTTAGAAAATATTAAGAATTAAATAAATATTTACAAATATTCACTTACCGTTGCCATTAATAGGCCTAATCTTTGTTTGATTTAATTTTTAAAATCTTCTTGATTTTCTAATTAAAGTAAAAAAAAATTATAATGACATTATTTAAAAGCTTAATAATAACAAAATGACTCATTACCATTTTGAAGTTAGATGGATTCCTATTAGATTTGCCAATATTCATATCTGTAAATATTAATTATACAAATTCTTAAATTATTAAATCAAATAACGTAATTTTAAAACAAAATATATTCTTACCAATTATTGATGTAGACACGTTGTTTTCAGTATAATCTTTAGATATTAATAATATTTTTTATGGTAGTCAATTTAATTAATAAATATCTTGTGATTATATATAAATAAGTGTTACTTACTATTTGATATATTAAGACTGTAATGCATGCTATCGTAAGCTTTTTTTTTAAAAAAAGAAATATCAAATTAATATTAAATTAAACTTTAATATTTCAAAAAATTAAATGACAACCTTCTTGCTCTTCTGTAAGTTAAAAATAAAAAATTTAAATTTTTATTTAATAAGGAACATAAACAAAATTAACAGTTTACCTTCAGTAGCATTTCTAGATTCAGGTAAATCTTCAAAAGTGTAAAGTTTACTAAATGTGCTGATTAATGAACTAATAGAATTAGAACTCATATTAGGTGTTGCATTTGATTGTTTACTGTTAAAATTAACGTTTTCTTCATTTTTATTTTGATAATACGATTTTTGTATTTTTGTAATTTTATCATGGAGGGTATCCAAATCGAGTCTCTTTAATGGATCAGCATCCCAACACTGAACCATTAAATCTTTATATTCTGTTAGAGTTCCTTTTACTATTGGTGGTCTCATTCCTTTTATTATATTTATTGCAAGATCATAATCATGGTCATAATAAGCAAAGGGTGGTTGTCCAGATGAAATCTCCCACATGAGCATACCGACACTATAAATATCTGATGCGAAAGTATATCCTTTTCCATTAATAACTTCAGGCGCTATATAAGGAAGATTTCCATATATACTTTCTAATGGTTTATCAGCAGGTCCACAAAATCCAAAATCACTAATACGCCAAGCATTGTTATATTCAGAATATAATATATTTCCTGAATGCAAATCTCTATGAATAGAATTTTCTTGATAAAGGCATGAAACTGCATCGATTATGTATACAATTATGTTGATTCTTTGTTTCCATGTAAGTTGGTTATGATTTTGTTGTAAATATTTTCTTAAATCTATGTTGAATAAGGCCATTACAAGAAAATAATCTTTATTTTGTGGATTTTGAGTAAGACCATAAGATTGAGCGAAATTTGGCCATTTACTGCTTAATATTAATTGAGATTCAGCCTATTAATTAAACTTTGATTGATTAGTTTCCTTATTTCTATTTATTTTATATATAAAAAACCAACAATTATTAATACATTTAAAATTACATACTTCCTCAAACCAACTTCTATTAGCACTTTCGACATTTTTTAATCTTTTAAGTATGACATTTTCATTTCCATATCTAATTAATTGTTTTCTGATACAATCCCATTCATCATAACTACCATCAATCCAATCTGCCGTATATATTTCTGAACATCCACCTTTAGCTAAATATTTGATATTTTGCAATTTATCGAATGGGATCCATTCAATTATTTTAAAAGGTTGAATTGCTACTATCTGACATTTCTTTATTAAATTATCAATTTCATTATTTCCCGATGTCCATTCTGAAAATTTAAATTTGAAATAATTTCGAATGCAATATTCGCAATATGAAGTTGCTAAACATTCTTGTTTGCAATTTTCACAAACTCTTTTCATTCCTTGATTTAAGGTAATTTTCTCGAAGTCAAAACCCTGAATTAATTTACGTATTGCCTCTGATTTTTCCTCGTCTGTGAGAGATTCGTCAGCGTAAATTGTTTGTTGTCTAAATTCATACTGTTCGTCAATGTCTGTGTTATAATCGTTTAATGCATATGCTCTATCACATGCATCGTTAACTAATTCCCTACGAATGGAGGACATAATGCAATGAAATAAAATTTATTCAAAAAGAAAGTTTACGGGATTAATACTCCGTGTTTTATTCCAAATAGAATATGATCGCTCTGTACAACATTTGTTCTACGTATGGCAAATTAAATATCACATGATTTTGTTCAACGTGACGTGACTAATACTGTGGAAGGCGCAGTCGTTGCAGAAATGAGCGCTTTAAACCAATTGGAATATTATTCGAAAGGCTATTTTGTAAGCTGACATTATTAGCATTATTTGAGAAATATATTTCTAATACTAGGGATTGGAAACGATTCTACCAAAACGAATTAAACAATCGAATATATAAAACATCAATTTATATTTTATTTTTTATAAAATTTAATATTGTTTATAATCTAAACATAGTAAGAAAGTAGAAAAATTTATTTTATTTTTCAAAAAAAAAAAGAAATATGATAAACAATCGAACGAATAATAGCAGAATTATCAAGGAAAAAAAACAGAAAAAGTCGATAAATCAAATAAATAGCCTATCTATGCATTTTCAAAACGAGCAAACCTAAATGCGAAGGAATAAATAAAGAATAACCATGATAAAAGAACAAAACGGAAAATAAAAATTTATCGCTGTAATATGTGATTTAACCATAAAAATAACAACGAAATGACCAAAAAAAATTAAAACAAAGCAAAAAGCTTATTCAACTCGAAATAGATTCTTAAATAAATAAATCAAAAAGGCGGCGTAAAAATAAAATTTTTGAAGTAAATTAAAAAAAAAAAATGTTTGCGCCTCTTACACTAATTGTTTTTTCCAAGATCTCGCTTCCTTTAATAAGATTTTGTATGAGTCGTCAAATAATTAACAGTTTCCGAATATATTCTGTGAATTTATAGAAAATTTCATTATGATGTGGATGCTTTTGTATAATTTTGTTAATTATAAATTTGAGATTACAATAAAATATTGGATGAAATTGACTAAAAAGAATAAACTTTCTCCAGTATTAGATGAACGACAATCACTTAAAAATGATTTAAAATATGGGTATTACACAAACACGTATAGTATGTTTTTGAATATCATTTTTTTATTTTAGGTAAGTATGTATACTTTTAAAACCATTATACTATACATATGTATGGATTTTCATAAGAAATAATCCATACTTTGTTCTAACGGTTTCTAAACTATACGAGTATAAATAAAAACCATAAATTACATACATTCAAAATTTAATAGGTTACTAAATATCCTTAAAATATTTATTTTTAAAAAATGACTTAATAAGAAAAAAACATTTTATCAAAAAAAAATGCATTTTCACAAATTGGAAATTTTATGAAAATAGATGTCTAATTCAGCTTAATTTCTCCTTTATTGGTGTAGCAACTTAAACTTTATATTTTTATTTACAGCTATTCGGGTCGGATGTACGAAAAATGTGTATTTTAGTGTCATTTGTTGCGACCAAATTGGCATATTATCATTCAAAGAACGTAAGATTTAGCTTAATTCCAAGATAATACAATGAATTTTAAGAGCCTTATAATTATCAGAACTACAATGCAAATGTAACGCAATTCAAGTATGACAAATTATTTTATTTTTTAAATACTTATAAAATTAGTCAACATTCATCTGATTATTAGAATGAAAATATTTGAATATTAGAAAGATGAAAAGAAATTTATGTTTAATATTACTTAACTAGTATAAGTTAATTATTGAAATATCCAAATTATAATATTTTTAATCGCTAGTCTCCTGAAAATATAAATGAAATTTTATCCAAGAATGAATTATCATATCTTCAATATTTATTAGAGTTTTCATCAAGAGTCTTTCAATTCATGATTTTGATTTGATATAGTTTTTTAGAGTTCTCAACTTCTTAAAGATCAACCATCAACGATAATAAATTTCGAAAAATTTAAATCAAATTTAAACCGATTGAGCGTCGGTTCCAGGTTGTAATTCATAACTTTATACTAATTAAACACCACCTGTAAATTTCATCGAATGATTACACTTTCTCATACTAAAAATGCATATAAATTTTGCATATTTCTAAAAATTACGAGGTATGAAAGATTGAATATTTAATATTGAAATATTGAATTATTTATGTTATTTAGAACAATTTGTAATACAGTAACAATTTTCATATTTTAATAACTTGAATTTTAATAATGATTTAGAAATTCCTGAAGGCAAAAAATTATGTAACTTTATTTTAATTTAAAAATATCATTATAATTAAAAATTAATACAGAGTAATTTGTTATCTAAAATTACTTAAAGACTAAAAGTTATTAAACAGTAAGTTTATTTTTCATTTTCATTTTTTATTATGTATTTATGTAAAAATAAAGTAATAGAGTAGCAATTATTTAAATACAACTTTTTCCGAAAATGCATTTTATTAATTAAACATACGAGAATTTTATGTTTACCTCGAATTAGAATCCAATAAATCATAGCATTTTCCTTTGTTCGAGCCAGAAATCCAATTATTTTTTCATTTTTGTTTTGCTGATATTTCAACTAAATTAATAATTTGAAAGTACTCCTACTATGTAGTTTTTGTAACGTCATAAATATTCAGCATGAATAGTATAAATCAAGCGGAACATTCGTTTATTAAGCCTTGTATGGTTTGGTAAATAACCTTTTTATTGCTCTAACATTATCTTTCTTTCTATTTTACCTTTCTTTGATAATGGAAAATTATATATTCAATTATTCAGAAGATAATTACTTTATAAGTATTTCCACTAATATGGTTTTTAACATCAAATTGTATTTCAACATGAACTTTGAATATCTCAATACATATGATATACATCGAGTAGATGCTGTGACGGATTAACAGATAGATTTTATTATTGTGTATCTATTAGGATCTCAATGGGACCTCAAATTGCTGATATTGTACTTAATTACGTAGAACATTCTCATGTCCTATATAGCGCAGTCAATAAAATAGTTATTAGGCATGGGATATTTAACCGAGCCCTTCCCAATAACTATATAATATCTGAAATTAAACAAAAATTTTTGTATAAATAGTTTGGAAAATCGATATAGTTGTAATAAATTTATAAATTTGTTATTTTACAATCTTCTTCGTATCTATATAAGGTTTTTGATGTGATCACTAACTACACTAGCGAATCTTATTAATTGAATGCTGCATTAATTATTTGTTGACTTGAAAAACAAAGGAAATCCAGGTCAACAATGGATTTTATTTCGTCGTCAAAATTTTTGATATTGTTACTTTCTACTTGCGTAAGAGAGATAATTACTTGTAGTTATAAATTTGTTTTATGTAATTGGATAAACAAAAAAGCATGTAAATCGAGTTTAGCGAAATAAAATAATAAAGTTTTTGATTGAAGTAAATAAAGAAATATTTTTATTATATAATATGTCAAATGAATACAATAAATACACTATAATTACTTTTGCCGGCGTTCTGTAATATACCCAAAGAGAAAAACCTATCTATTCAAAATAATGATCAAGTTCTATCGTTAGCTAAGAGCGAAACGAAGCTATTTTATATAAAAATTCCTTCTTATGGCTTTGCTACGGCATTCTTTAAAATGTTAAGGAGGATCTAATTTTGGGCGCAGTCGTAATTTTGTAAAAAAAAAAAAAAAAAAAAAAAAAAAATCTTTCTAAAATCTTAATTAAAAGGAGAAGGAATAGTAAATACTTTGTTTTTATATTTATTTATTTAACGAATTGATATATTGGAGATTGCTATTAAAAATCAATTGATAATCATATGTTCCGTATAATAGTATACACGCCCATTTAGATAAATAAACATCATTATATTTTAATGCATCTCCACTACATTTCTAATAGTATTAATATCTATTAGATCCAAATATATTAAACTTGGATTCATTTAACCAAACAAACTATCTTATATTATTCTTTATCATTCCAGCTTTAATATTCTTTAGCAAATTCATATCTTACTTTTTTGTGACAAGAAAGTAAAATAGCTTTTTTACCTTTATTGTTAACATTAAATTATTTTTTATAAATTTTCTGCATAGTTTGAATTACTGATAATCTAGTATATAACTCACCATTTAGACTTTCTGTTAGAATTTTAGGATGTCTTAATTAGGTAAGATTTAGGTATTTTGTATCTATTTCTATTTATCAGAAAGTTTTTTATATTCTTATACTAACATTATATTCTTTTACTAGTTACTTTATTGAATATAATATTTATTCAAGTAAAATACATATATAGATTCTCTGTTCTTCATTTAACTGAAAAGAAATATTAGAATTTATTTTTGAATTTTTTTAGATTGGCATTTTATAAATTTTTAATATAATGAATTAGAATTGAGGTATAATTTAAATTAAATAAAAAAAAACTTATATATATAAATATTAAATTCATAAAAAGAAATATAAAAAATAATGTATGTAATAAATAATAATATAAGAAGAGAAGTTCTGATTAAATAAGAATAAATAAGAAAATAATTAGATGAATTGTTTTTAACAATAATAGTTATATTATATTATGATTATAATTTAAGCATTTCAGTTTATTTAATACTCTGTCATTTAATATTTATGATTTTGAAATGGACTTGGAGATTAATATTATAAAGAAGGAAAATGAGTAAACTGAATTGAATTACTAAATTAAGTTAATTTAAAAAGTTCTATAATGAAAAATAGAAATAAGAAAATCTAATACTTACTATCAAATCCCAAAGCTTTCCGTAAATAAAAAGTAATAACAAAAATTGTCAAGTTGGTTAAAAATATAAATAATAAAAATATAGCAAACTAGGTAGTAATGAAGAAGATAATCGAATTCTATTGTGAAATACAAATAAATTCATTATTTGCTTTGCAGTTTTTCAGAAGAAATTTTAAAAGGATAACATTTGGTAATTAAAATTTTTTTTTTTTTATTAGTCAAATTGCTGGAGAAGCTGGGATGCACAAAATATAAAATAATGGAAAGTTTTGATAGAAGTATCGACATTTTAAAAAATGAGCGTTTAATATCGAAAATTTTTGCGCAATAAAATAAACAATTACGTGTATCGTACATCTTTCCAAATTTGTAATCAGGACCTTATTATTTGTAAACATAATTGTGTTTTTTCAATTAAGATTTGAACGTGATCATATAGAGGAAAAATTTTATTTTAACTCACAAAGAAGCGTTAAAGAGTATTGTCATTTCCTGATAACATAATAATATAATTCAATTTAAATACTGAGAGAGTACCTATTCAATTTCGGAAATATGACATGTCCCCCTCTTCATATAGAACTCATTTTGATAGACCTTTTTGTTTCCATGCCAGTTATAATTAATAGTAATGGACCTTCAAAATTGTTTTGATATAAATAAGCTTTTATAAGGACTCAATGATTGTCGATCTTTTGCTAATCCAAAGAATTTTATTTAAAAAAAAAAACTTTCGCTTTTTTTTCGTTTTTAAAAATGAAAAAAATAAATCATCAAAAAAAATTAACTCAATAAATAAGTACTTTAATGTTAAAATTTAAAATATCAGTTTGAAATATCGTACATATGCATTCTATTGATATTACTTAATTTAAATTCTTAAAATGTAACTTGGAAATTAAAATCACGTGAGAACTTGAAAGCTTCATATCGGATTTGTTTTAAATCAATCGATTCAAATTCTGCATGTAATAAGTGTGATGTAGAAAATCTAGATTAAAAATTCAAATTTGGAATTTGGCGAGGATTGGTTTGAATTTTATAAACTTGCTTTCAATATATTTATTAATGCATTAACTTATTACAACATTATCTCGTATAAATTTGAACAACAATATGTTCTTATCGACAAAATCTTTCACAAAAAGGAAATTCGGCGACGATAAAAGATTCAAATAAGGTAAAGAATGTAATGTTTACAATATTCGTAATTTTCGAAATGATTTGATAGCAAATTTTCAAACCTTGACATCTTGGAAATAATAGAATTGTTATGACATATAAAATAGTTGAATGAATCCCATACAATGATTAATAAATATTAATATTAAAATAAAGGTGAATTTCCGAAATTCATAAAGTTGTTGACATAGATTCTAACAGTGTGTAGGATGTACTTATACAAGACTTATTTTATTTGACATTTCATAAAAAAATCTTGTATAAGCAGCAATTAAGCTAAACGGAAACGGTAATAATAATATTTTTAATATTATTAACATAAATCGAGAGAAAAAATGATTGTTCTTGATTGTTGCGCTGCTGCCGATGTCGTAGAATTTTTTTATTTTGATTAAATAACATGTAAAGAGGTCCAGATCCACTTTTAAATCCTCGATTATAATTTATCATAAATTATTAAACTTTTTTTCAAATCAATTTTTATTTTTAACTTTAAAATCTCATACTTTATTTCAAAGCACGTATATTAAAATATAAATGAATTAAAACTTATTTTAAGATAATATCGTATGGTTTTAATAACTTCAATTATGCAAGATGATTTTAATTTTTGATTATTGATAACAATATTTGCAATTTATCGGCTTTCATTACTCGAATTTAAAGATCAGAAAAAGAAAACGGTTTATTAACAAAATATAAAGAAAGTTAACTATTACTGCCTCAGTTTTCAGCTCTATGATATGCGGCCTAAGATGAAGAGAATTATCTATTTTTTTTCCTATCAAAATATCGAAATTTAAAGCGATACGAAGTCTATTTATAACAAAATTTCCAAGAAATTTTATTACATACATTAAAAGTTTCAGGCTGTTGTATGGTAAGCTAAAATTTATTAAGATCAATGTCATAACTATCATATCTTCTAGATTTTCCAGCTGGGTCAGAAATTTCCGAAATGTCAGAACTGTCAGAACTGCTAAAATTGACAGTATTCGAACGTCGTAAGCGAATTAGGAGTAGTCAAATTTCATAATGACACCTGCTTCATAT